AAAAAAAAAAAAAAAAAAAAAAAAGCCTGGTTCCTTTGAGGAACTGAAATAATTTTTTTAGAGCTGGAGTATAGAAATCAAGTGAAGAGAGTAGTAAGAGATGGGAATGCAGAAATTGAGACCAGATCATGAAGAAATTGGAAAGCTTTGTTAAGAAGACAGCATGATAATTAAGAACCTAGGACCCTGCAAGCTTAAATCCCAACTCCACCATCCTAGCTCAATTATCTTAAGCCAGTCACTTAACCTAATTAATTCTTAAGCTCCCTTTCTAAAAAGGGGAATAATACAGAGTTTTCTTTATCTTAAGGGTCTTGGGAAATCATTGAGAGGTTTTAAGCAGAGGCCTGTTACGATTTGTATCTCAGGAAGAACTCTTTGGTGTACAAGGTGGAAAATACATCGTAGTAGGGTAAAAGTAGAAGTCAGGGGCCTAATTAGCAGACTATTATATAATCACTGGGGCTAGAGATTACTTTAGGCTCCAAGTATGTAGTAGCAGAGAAGGATGAGATAGAAATATTTATGGTGAGGAGCAGGCAGAACTTGGTGACTAAGGGTTGGAAATGAAAGAGGAGGGAGTATCAAAGATATTACTCAGGTTCGTGACCTGGTAGCTAAGAGGTCAGTGGTGACATCTGTGGAACCCAGGAAGGGGAGTAGATTGGAGTGGGAGGAAAGATCACGAGTTCACTTACAGAAATGTTGAATTTGAGATGCCTGGGCTCACCCAGAGAATGTCAGATAAAGAGTTAGATTAAGAGGTAGTGAAGCCCTGGGAATTGGCTGAAAGTCTGTGTTTTGATGGTCTGGAGGCATGGGGAGGGTGGCAGACAAGTTCTAGACTCAGAAGTAACCAGATCATCTTGTCTTCTTCCAGACACAGAGATTGACTGGAAGGCATACATGGCCCAGGTAGAAGGCGTCATCAATGGTACCTATGACTATACCCAACTGCAGGGTGACACCGGACCACTTGTGTGAGTGGGGTCAGGAAGTTCAGGGAGGATGTGAGGGGCTGGTTAGGTACTAGTCTGTGTGGCCTGACCCAGGCTCACATTTTCTCTCATCTTCCAGGTACCCAGCTGGTTTCGTGTACATCTTTATGGGGCTGTACTATGCCACTGGCCGAGGCACTGACATCCGCATGGCCCAGAACATCTTTGCTGTGCTCTACCTGGCCACCTTGCTGCTTGTTTTCTTGATCTATCACCAGACCTGCAAGGTGAATCCATGCTACCGGGGCTAGAGGGCCCCAGCCTGGGAGGGCTGGGTGGTGGGGATGGCTCAGGCTTGCTGAGCTGACCTTGTTCCTTACTGTGTTCACCCTTTAGGTACCTCCCTTCGTCTTTTTCTTCATGTGCTGCGCCTCTTACCGTGTCCACTCCATCTTTGTGCTGCGGCTCTTCAATGACCCAGTGGCTATGGTGCTGCTCTTCCTCAGTATCAACCTCCTGTTGGCCCAGCGCTGGGGCTGGGGCTGCTGCTTTTTCAGGTCAACACCTCTTCCTTCTGGCCCCCTCTCTCATTTTCTGCATTTCCATCTCTTCCCAATTTCCTGCAGCAGAGGGAGTAAAGGAGTAGCCAAGACAGCGTGGGCCACTCAGGGCTCTACAAAGCGAGTCCAGGATCTATAGAAAGTTTCTGCCCTGCCATCCCCCCACATACACACATGCCCTCTTTCCATCCTATCTTCCTCCCAGACAGCATTCATTGTTGGAATTAGTCCTTCACATTCTAAATACTTAGTTTATGCTTATTTGCATATAGTAGGCATAGAGACTATGTATCTGGCCCCTGCCTACTCCAGGCTCTTCCCTTCAACAGTTGTGAGTGTAGGTCCCATCCTGGAGTTTGCTGGCGTGGCGGCAGGAGGAGGTTGCTGTGGTGATGGTGGGAGGTATGTCTTTGGGTGTTGTGTGCACGGCCCTGGGGCTGATCTCCACCCTTCCTCTCCCCTGCTCACCCCAGCCTGGCAGTCTCTGTGAAGATGAATGTGCTCCTCTTCGCCCCTGGGTTACTGTTTCTTCTCCTCACGCAGTTTGGCTTCCGTGGGGCCCTCCCCAAGCTGGGCATCTGTGCTGGCCTTCAGGTACCCCCACCTCACCCTTCCTCTTTCTAATCAAGGAGAAGCCACTTGTCTTGATTGAGGGGATCTATCCTTGAGACTCCCTCAAAGCCAAGAGACAGGGTTTTGGAGTTGATCCTGAGCTAGGAAGCTACTATCTCTAGGCTATAGTTTCCATAGCTGTAAAATAGGGTATTACATTTGATGGTCTCTGAGAGCTTTTTTATTTTTTTAATTTTAAGTTTTTTTTTTTTTTTTTTTTTT